GAAACACGCACGCCAACTGTCATTGGCTTGTTTAGTTAACACTCGAAGGTGATTGGGCTCTCGGGCGAGATCCCAATTTGTCAGTCACGACTGACGTAACGTCGAACGTGACTGACTGAAAGGGAACCATGGTTACATGCGTAACCTGAGACATTCCCTTTCAGGAACTCGAGGTGCGTCGAAACGTTATGGGAATGAGTATGCCCACGCTGCCAGACTTAAAAATCCCTGCCTAGTGTGGAAGAGCACAGCTAAAGCAAGAGAAAGGAGCCAGGAATGGCGCAGAATGCAGGTAGGCACCTGACAAAGTAGGCGGAGTGAGTGAGCCTTGACCCCCAAAGGAGAGGGGAGATCAGAGGACTCGAGGCTATGGAATAGCATCCTGATCCACCGCTTAGCATAAGCTTTACAGTGGAGCTGGATGAGTCAGAGAGAACCAGAGGGGACAGTGCGATGTCTCCTGAGTCACAAACAGGTCCACCTGAGCCTGGCCAAAAACAAACTCGAGAGCTGACTGCGCGAGCTCCACTCCCCAGTAAATGCTGCTCATTATAATATTAGACATAACATGCTTGTGCAACTGGCTTTTTCGAAAGCTCATCGACATCCTCCACGTCCACCTCCTTGGAGGAAGAAAGACGGAGCGTCGAGCCCTCTCCCCGGGGGGAAGAAACTGCAGGGCGGGCTTCCGATCACAGAGAGCGGGCGATGGATCTGTTGGGCAAGAAAGAAGAGAGGGACTCGCCCGTCTCCATTCCATCCACCAGATCCATCTGCGTTCCCCACAAGTGCAGCTGCTGCTCCGCCTCAGCGAAAACGGGGCGGCCCCGAGAGGAACGTTGGTGAAGGCTCTATCCTCAAAGAGAGCCTTCAGAGAGCAAAGCATACGCAGTGACAAACGCTCGCAATGCGGGCAGTCAGCTCCCTCGAGAGCTGACTCTGTGTGCTTTGCTCCAAAGCAGACAACACAAAGATGTCCCCACCCGAAACTTTTTTTGTAGCACGGGCAGGGAGGAACACACAGCCTGAAACGCTGCCTGCTCTCGCCCAAATGCTTCTTTTTGGCTGAAGCTTTGACATAATGGAGCTTATAAAGTGGACAAACAACACTAAATAAAACTCACAACAAATAGCGTCTGACACACACACACAGAGCGCTTGCTGAATGACAGAAAGCTGCCGCTGTATCCACCGCACGTGCTTTTAAGGATCCTGGTCACTACGTCACCCCGCCCGTGACGTCTCGCCCATCCATTGGACTGATTGCACACGTGATTCAGAGCACGAACGCTGAAGGCGTTCCCATAGCGTTTTGACGCAGCTCGAGTTCCTGAAAGGAAACTTAAACTTTTTCTTATTTTAAACAAAACCCTTTCAAATTATTAAAGGACTTGTGTATTAAAACAATAACAATAAAAATATCTGACATTGCGTTAGAAAAACAATTCCAGATGTAATATCTGAAAACAAGTTTTAATACATTAGTCATGTCTTGCAAGTCTAACAAATTGTCATGAAATTCAAATTATCTTGTTTTTTAGAATGTATACTACTGTTTTATTATGTTTTTGAAAGTCTTATGTTCACCAAGGCTGCATTTATTTATCATTTAAAATAACTGTTTTCTATTTTAATATATTTTACATTTTTTACATTTTACATTTTTTATAATTATTAGTTGCTTTTCTGTTGTTATTATTAGTTGGAAACTATATGCTTCTTAATGAAGTATGCGTTTTTC